ATTTTTTTTTTGTCGAATTTGGCTTATGCAGCCTCAACAACACTAGTAGAAACATCAAAAACACTAATGTGCATAGTTTTAAATAATGTTTGCGGTCCGTAAAGAATTTTGCGATTTCGGTTTGTGAGTAATATATATATATATGCTTGTGTGAAAGACTTTCATGCTGGTTTAGATCATGTTTTAAATTGTGTCTAGAAGCCATTGTTGCGTATCTGACTCACAACACTCACATATGAGCCCAGAGTTACTGCTAACAGATAATACGGAGTTTATTGTCAAATGCGGCTGATGCAGCCTCAATTGTGTCACGAAAACATCAAAGACCTTGATGTGGTGGCCACAATTCCTGATTTGATCTCCTTGTAAATGTTAATAATAGTTGTGACAGTGAGGTTTGAACCTAGGAGGCCATAATTCCTGGTTTGATCCTCTTGTAAATGTTAATAGTAGTTGTGACAGTGAGGTTTGAACCGATGTGTTTATGCATACTACTTGCGTCCCTCACCGCTACTAACAGAGTCTCAGTGGCTTAGATTTTGTTTTAATCTGATGATTTCTTATTTGACATAGCTTCCTTTTGGTTCTCAAGGATTTAGGAATTTCAACAATATCGAAAAAATTGACTGAAATTGCAAGTCCAGCAAAGAAGTCTGCTGTAAGCTTTCATTTTGATTTGGTTTTAATCAATAAGGAACCAGCGTTCCTTCCTAAATGGCCACTACCATCCGCCTTGTTGTTCTGCAGTGCCTGTATTGCCGGTGGAGTTGGTGCTGGTATGCTAGTAGAAGCTCCGCCTTGTTGTTCTGCAGTGCCTGTATTGCCGGTGGAGTTGGTGCTGGTATGCTAGTAGAAGCATGGATCGACAAGAAAGTTAAAGGTACTCTTATTTCCCGCTTTCTTCTCATTTCTCTTCAATTTAGGTTGTGAGCATTTTGGTGTTATGGACATGTTTTTTAGTACATATATATGATTTCTCTTCACTTTTCTCATTCAAACAAGTATTATATCTCACATATCACATCACTGTTTTAGCTTAACTAATAACAGAAAATATATAGTTAGTTAGTTACATAGTAAGTAAAGTAACTCTAGAATATCAGAATGTTTCAGTAACTCTAGAAAAATGAAGAGAAATGTAATTAACTTTGAGTTACTCTAGCAGTAAGTAATCGATTTTGAGTAACTGATTTTGAGTTACTTTAGAATATCAGTAAGTAATTGATTTTGAGTTACTCTCAGAAACTGTAATTACACTTATACCTAAATCTTTAGAGTTTTTATTATTTTCTGCTATATTCATGGGACTAAACAATGTTAAACAGAAAAGATTGAGTGATCAGAAACAACAGTATCATGACAGCCGGGTTTCGAAGAGTGGTAGACATGTTGAATTCCTTTTTTCTTTCCTCTATCTGGACAGGTAGCAAATAGTTTATTGGTAAGTTGGAACATCATTAAGTTTGGTTGAATGGAAAGGGGGAGTACATTAATTTGTGGTTGGACAATTGATGTGGTCAAAGATCGGTTAATATTATGCAAATTCCTTCGAATATGCATAATAATTTGAAGGTTGAGCTGAATAAAATCATTGAGGAAAACTCTATAATTATGCCTCAATGCTTTGTCCAGAACTGTCCTACTCTGCCGCTTTGTCCAGAACTGTCCTACTCTGCCTCAGCTTACTGTAGAGGAGTTCATCAATTCAATGAATGGTGATACGAAGGTTTGGAAGCCAACTAGTAATAGGTAGCTTTCGGTAAAAATTGCCTACAACCATCTTTCCTACTCTCAGCAAGCTACGGCATGGGGTATGACTATATGTAATTTATCAATCTCACCTTTAAAGTCAATTTTGTTTTTGAGATTACTTGAAAATTTGTCAACATATGCCAACTTATGTTTGAGGGGTCTCCAAATGTCCTCATGTTGAAATCAATGTCATTGTGATGTGGAGACCCTGCATGGCTTATTTTTTTACCTACAAGTATGCCAAGAATATTTGGAATTGGTTGGCGAGCATGTTGGACAGAGCTCTACCTATTAGTTGTTTCAAGGACTACTGGAAGGTCATGGACAACAGTGGTTCATTGTAGGGAAAATTTGTTATTACCGTTGCTGCGATAAACTCTATTTACTGCATTTTGAATCCTAGAAATCTAGCTCGGTTCCAAAACACTTTCAAGCACTAGAGACCTTTTTGTGCATCTAGCTCTGATTTTCATTTCTGCTTCTTTGTTTAATTTGATTGATTATTTCAGGTTTTTATAGATCGGCGTCTGGTTTTATGAACTTGTTGTTGGGATCACTGAAAATTGTGGGCGAGTACTATCCAGGACGGCTATGCAAGGCGTTTGTGATTGACCCTCCATCCCTTTTTGCATACTTGTGGAAGGTAAACTTCTTTACCATTCTTGTGCTTGCTTCGGTTAGTATCCACTTCATTCTTCATTCCAGTATACTCTTTTCTCCTTTCTTCATTCTGCTGTTCATGTTTGCATCTGCATGCTCCATAGAACTTTAAAAGAATTCTAATTACCATGCATCACAGTGCTTGTCCAATTTTCACAATACTGAATATAATATATATTTCAGGTGTCAAATCCTCTATTTGACCTTGCTGGCATCATGTGTGGACAATTTGGCATTCCGTTTTGGAATTTTTTCCTTGCAACTTTGATTGGAAAGACAATTATTAAAACTTATACAGGTAATATATGATATATGTTGTTGTTCTATTGCAGTTCTCGAATTCTTTGTTGTTCTATATACTGCTGTTCCATTAATACATGCTTTAGGGTGGATGAAAGCTGGTATAAGCTGTTGTTTGAGACCTGTAACATTAGTGTTTGGTATAAGCTGCTGTTTAAGAACTACTGCTTAAGGATGTTAGCACTATAGCATTAGTGTTTGTGTAAAATATTGAGAGTTTTTATTTTGGTTGACTGTAATATATTAATAGGTTGTATGTTGCCATCTGCTTGCTGCAGCAAATATGATTAAACTGATAGAGTCGTGAGTCGGTCTCTATGAGTTGCATTATCATCTTTATGTGATGTTTTGGTGGAATGAACATAACTGTAAATGTTTATGTGAAATGCTATAAATTGTGAAGAGTGAATTTGTGAATGTGCTTGATTATGCGCGTATATCTTGTGATGTATCGTGACAAGTTGTGGTGAGAAATATATATTCTGTAATTGTATGTATATATCATTTTATGCATTGTTGGTTATGATAATGTTTCTCACCCTTTTGCTGTTTTATAATGCTCTATGAGGCATTGCAGAGTAGGATGCTGAAGGTCTTTTGTGAAGCAAGTTTTCATTTCTTTTGGTCAGATGGCTCTGATATGTAACACTGGGTAGTTAAGGATTTGTTTTGATTCTTTTGTGATACATCTGTGTATGTATCTGCTACTGAATGTTTGTATACTTAACTAATGTATTGAACTAGTCTGGATGATGTAAACATGTTTATGTTAATGAAGTAATTCAATGTTTAGATGTTTCCGCTTTATTCTAAATATTGATATGTGGGTTTAATAGCTATGTTTTGTTTTTAGTTGAGATTTATCCCTTTTGTTACATATCTTTATGAGCAGGTGTTATTTATGTTTCATTTCATGATAATGTGACACACCTCTTTTATACCGTGTTATATTTATACTCTGATGAAACTTTTTATTAATTGCCTAAGTGATTTTAACTGTTTAATTGGGGGTATAGAAAGGGGGTGTTACAATATGTCTCATAAAAGACCACAAAGATTACAAGATAACTTCTCACTTTTCTTATCATGACTTATTTCAAATTTGTAAGAATTTAAACAAATAAATAAGTAAGTTGAAACAAATTGTCTCAAAATTTAAAGAGACTGCATCCTTCCTTGAAATTGAAAATTAAAACCTCATGCAAGAAATGGAATTGAAAATTAAAAAAATGTTCCAACTCAAGTCTTTTCCACTTCGATGAAGAGTTAGTTGAATCAAATAAGTGTAATCAATGCAGCACTTTGAAAAATGAAAAGATTTACAAAACACGCTTGAAAGATTCACTAAAGAAATAGACAATATCCTTCATGAAAATCAAATAGCATCGTACAATAATGTCGACTTATGTTATGAACCAGCGAATAATGTTAAAAAATTCGACAAAATTTGCCATGATCATAAAACTTCTAAACTCAAAACCCTTAAATATAATTATTGTATTAAAAATGACTACATTGATCCCATATTTTTATAGAAAGCATCATGAACATAAAATAAAAAACACGTCTAATGTATTTTTTGTAATTATGATCCTTATGAAAAATCTAAAGGGAATTCATGTCAAACAAACATTAAAGGATCCAAAAATATTTAGGTACCTAAATTAAGATCTTAGTTCTTATGCAGGAGTGTCCTCTGTGAGCTTAAAATCAAATGAATGTTTCATGTCATTAAAGTACACAAATGTAAGATACCAAAACTGAGATAATGTGAGGTGTTTTACTGTTTTTATTAATAACATATGATATATATTTATACTATGAACCACATAAAACTGTCGATACAATCATAACTCTATAAAAGTATTGGCAAAATCTCAACCATTAAAAATTATCACTCATATTTTTTAAGGTCATGGAAAAAATCAAATATTTTCTAGAGTTTTTGAAAAATCCCGGTAAAATTTGTCAAACATTAATATTTTTAAAAATACATACCATAATTTTTGATTGACTTACTAAATTTTTCGCGCAAAAGAGAAAATTTTCAAACACCTTATTAATGAAAAAAAAAGAGAGGAATATTTCTAATATTAAGAAAAATTAGGAGTGTCACTTAAAACTCCATATTAGATTAGAGCTCTGAGCCCAAATCAATAAACCCAACAAGTTTTTCGTATGAAATCCCAAATTGCGAGGATTTTAGTTTTTCCTCCGAACCCTAAAACACGCCGATGGAGTAACCCAGCTGCAACAAACAACCACTGCATCCCTTTCTCTTCCCAACGATGAACCATCTTCTTCAAAAGAATCTTATGCTCTTTGCCTCTTCACTCTCACCCTTGCAATCTTGCACGCTTCTGGTTCGATTTCAACTTTCTAAATTGTTATCTTCTTCTCCGTATTCTCACCGTAAGCGTCACGGCAGCAAAGAGTACCGCAATGTTAGAGTCTCAGTGTGGTGGGATTTTGAGACCTGCAACCTGCCTTCTGGTTTTAGCATTTCCAAAGTAAAACCCGCTGTCACCGACGCTGTGAGAGCTAATGGAATCAAAGGCCCTGTTCATATTACCGCTTTCGGCGATGTTTGTCAGCTTTCGAGGCCCAATCAGGAGGCACTTCCTTTCACTGGGATTCATCTTACTCGCTTTCTCAAGATTCCCAAAGGTTGGCTTCAGTTCATTCTTATTATAATTTGTTGGTTTTGCTTTAATATTTAAACCTAGATATTCAATTTCTGTGTATGGCAATAGAAAATAATTAGTAATGGCAATAGAAAATAATTAGTAATGGCAATAGAAAATAATTAGTAATCAATTTCTGTGTATGGCAATAGAAAATAATTAGTAATGCTGCACAGATGCTGCTGTGCTACTGACACACTCTGACCCTCGTGATTAGCTATTCATTTTTTTCCAAATTATTACTAATGTTGATGGGTCCGATGTCTGTGTTATGTCCGGGCCTCATAGGTCTTAATAGTAGATCGAACCTTGGACGGAGTAATTTATCCTCTTTTTTCTATGCTACAAGAGGTTCCATGCCATTTCATATTTGAGATGGAGGTTCAACTAATAAATGAAGGCAAATGGTTACGGCTAATGATGTCATAGTATGTTGTTTATTTCGCTATATGACTTTCTGTTTCATTAATCTAAATTTTTGTCTTTTCAAATTATTATGTTAAGTACTTTCTTGCAGTTGGATAGAAAGTTTTATCTTTTCAAATTATAATGTCGAAGTAATTTGTTACAGGTGGAAAGTATAGTGATGATATATCTCGTATTACTGATCTTATGGAGTGGCTTTCAGACAATCCTCTTATGTATTGGGTTTCACAAAATCCTCCGCCTGTACATCTCTTTCTGATATCTGGTGATAAAGACTTTGCTGGCATATTGCACCGATTGAGACTGAATAACTATAATATCTTGCTTGCAAGTCCTGGAAATGCTCCTGATGTTCTCGGCAGTGCAGCAACTATGATGTGGCAGTGGACATCTATTCTCAAGGGAGAAGATCTAACTGGAAAACATTTCAACCATCCTCCCGATTGTCAGTTTAGTTCTTGGTATGGAAACTCTAAAGTGCCTCTTGAAAGCCCCTTTTCACAAAATATAGACGTTACGGAAATCAATGAACCCTCCTCAGACTTAAAGGTAGGTGTTAGGTCTGCGGACGTAAGTCCAAAAGTTCGTGAAAAATATACCACTTTAGGGAAACTCTTGGCTGGTACTGATCACACAAACAAACACGAGGATCAACCTAGAAAGGAGCTTGATGATCACAGCCCATATTTTTCAGCAGTTGATGACTCTTTGGTTGACAAAAGACCCGATGTTCATCCTGAGACTTACAGCAAAAGATCAACTTTCTTTAGCTGGATTAAAAGTTGGTGGCCATTTCAGAAAAGCAATGTAAAGGCTGATGATTCCACTTTTTATCAGAAAAAGGTGACTAGGAATTTAGAGGATTCCAAGCTATCCGAACTGGACATGACTGCTAGCAATCTTGAAGAACCCAAGCCATTAGAACAACAGCACTATGTCACTCATTCTGGAAAGCATGAGGGTTCCAAGTTACCTGGTTCCTTTTGGAATGACATGGAATCTTTTGTTTTCAGCCCCAAAGGATCACTTCTTATTTCCCAGTCTAGAAGCAGGTCTGTGTGATATTTTTCCTTTTTCTGTGTTATTTTGTTCCTTGTTCTAATCTGAGCCCGACTGCTGAAGAAAAAAATGCAATACATCTATTGTATCATATAGTTTCTTAAAAGATTATTATTTGGCTAATTTTTAACAAATTAACTTAGTAATGTTTTGTATCAGGGAGGATTTGGCTCATAAACTACAAAAGCATGGACCCATGACTCTCAAGTCTTTTGCTGAAAATGATATCTTTCAATTGGTGGAACTGTTGATAGCAGATAAAAAATGGTTGGAGGAGAGCCCCTCACAAGCATTTCCTTTTAGGCTAACTCAATCAGTTTGGAAAAGCACGCGGATGGGCCAATGCAGCTTAAACCATAGTACTGATTAATTAGCCTCCAAATTTCAACTTGAAATTCTTTATGTTTGATCATTTATTTATTATGGCTAGAGGAACATTTGAGCATGGTATATACATGGCTTATGAGCAATGTTATGTTTTACCTGCAGTGAATAATACCGCGTTTTTTTATGTATAAAAAGTGCACTCTCCTTTTTAGGAGCCTTCGTTTTTAAGATTGAAGTATGCTATGAAAAGAAGATAAAAACTAGATGAAATAACTATGAAATAACCTTCTATGCATAGTACATCTCAAAACAATACTAGGAATGCTATTCTCTTTTATCTAGGTTTAAAGCAATGTTAGAGAAAAAGTCATTTCATTCCTAGCTTTCCAAAATGCTATATATACAGAGTTTCCGCGACACAACAATTTTCAAAACTTGTATTTTCCAACCTTTCTTCTTGGTTTCTTGAATATGCCACTTCTTCTAATTAATCCAACCTGTATGGTTTCTTGAATAAGCCACTTCTTCTAATTAATCCAACCTGTATGGTTTCTAACACCACCACATTAATCACCTTACTCAATCTTGTAGCTAAAATCTTTGATGTGATTTTGTACTAAGTAGTGCAACATGCTATAGGTCTCACATCCTTCGTGATTCTTGCATCAGAATTTTTAGGAATTGGAGTTACCAAGGCACAATTCACTGCAGTTTTTTTTATAAGCATAATTGTATTAAGGGAGGAGATTAAAAGGATCTCCAATGCTGTCGAAGATTGAGATCCCAAAGTAACAATATGATTATAGTAAGATTTGACAGAAAAAACACAAGATTTCTCCAACTGCCAGATCCAACTATCATCATTGGCAGAATTTGGAGAGATTGAAACCAACAGCATTTCAAGATCCTGTAGCTCCTGCAACGCCTCGCCGACAGCTTCTGCGTGTAACGATCTAGTATGCCATCTCCACCTTCCATCCTCCCAAGCTCCCATATCAGAAATATACCAAAGCTTTGTATGCGTTAATGCAAAGAGGTTTGGGAACAGAGTTGTGAATTCATTACTTCCAAGCCATTTGCATTTCCAGAACAGAATGATGGTTTTACCATGCTTTGCTGACACAAGATTGCTGAAGCTGCTATCCCTCATCCAAAATGAATCATTTCTTCCCATACTCCCTGCATCTTCATGTAATATCAGATTCGGTAAACTGCCATATCTGAAAGTATGGATATTTCTCCATAATTCGTTGCCATTTTGTAAGAACTTCCACAACCATTTCAATATGTTTGATCCCTAAACCCTCTCTGTTTCTTTTCTTTACACAAGGATCTCCAACTAATCCACGATATGCCGCGATTTTCCACTAAACCAGGCCATAGAAACTGTCTATGAATGCCTATAATTACTTTAGCTACCTGTTTTGGTAATTTGAAGAAAGACCGATGATGAACAGGTAAGTTTGCTAGAACAGAATTCAGTAATGTCACTCTCCCAGCGATGGATAACTTCCTACCAATCCAAGAAGATAGCCTGGCCCTGAAACAATTGATAATCGGTTGCCAAAATTTTACTATTCTTTGATTACCCCTTACCATGAGCCCAAAAAACTTGAAATGCATAGTTCCTGATTTGCAGAATAAGAATTGTTCTGCAGCCAACATGAACTCGGATTCAATACCAACTTCGTATAGACAAATTTTTGCAAAGTTTATCTTGAGGCTTGAAACCAGTTCGAGTCCCCTTAGTATAGACTTGATTGCCCACAAGTTTGAGAAGAAGTGTGTGATCAGCAAACATATTATCTGCCACTTTGAAACCCGTAAACAAATTCAACTCAATAGCCCTCTTGACCAAGGTTGCGAATCCTTCAACCATAAATGCAAATAACATTGGTGATAAAGGGTCCCCCTGTTTCAGTCCACGTGAAGCCTTGAAATCCTTGGATGGGCTTCCATTTATTAAAACAGACATGAAACCATGCTGCACAGCTCCTCTAATCATCTCCTCCAATTGATTCCAAAATTCATGGCTTGCATCATGTTTTCTAGAAACTCACATTCAACACAATCAAAAGCCTGTGCAAAATCGACTTTAAATAGCAAACACTTTTTCCTGCCTCGTTTTGCAAGGTCCATACATTCATTAGCAACAACTACTCCATCAAATAGGTTTTGACCTGGTATGAAAGTTGTTTGAGAAGGTGATATCAGTTTTTCAATGAGTTTGTTCAACCTCTTTGCCAGCATTTTAGACACCATTTTTAGGATGCAGCCAATTAAGCTATTTGGTCGATAAGTGGGTTCTCCTCCTTTGGTATCAAGGAGACGAAAGAAGAAGCAAATGTCTTTGGTAATGATGCAGTGGTAAAGAATTCTAGCACAACATTAGATACATCATCACCTACTATATCCCAATAAAGTTTCAAGAATTTGAAGTTGAATCCATCCACACCTGGCCATTTGTTACTATCGTACTCCAGGACAGCTTCATGAACCTCTTGTTTGGTGAACATTGCTTCTTACATCTTCTTGTCTGCAATATGAAGTTTGTTCACATCTTCCAGGTTCATTTTTGGCCTCCTCGACTGCTCTCTTTGGAATTTCTTCTTAAAAAACTGCATAGCGCAATCTTTAATACGCGCAGGATCTTCCAGCTCAGATTCACCCCATTTGATCACTGATATAGAATTTCTCCTAATACGAGAAACTAAAGAAGCGTGGAAGAATCAGGTATTTAAGTCACCTTCCAAGGTCCACTTAACCCTTGATATTTGGTGAATCATACTCTCCTTAGTTCTAAGAGTACGCCAAACCTCTTAACCCTTGCCTTCTCAGCACTCCTTTTCTTGATAAAGTTTTCTTTAAGCTTTGCTTCCATGTCCCTTATAATACCTTCAAATACTTCCTCATCTTCATCACCTTCTATACCAAGTTATTTTATTGTATGTCAGACCTTCAATGGAACATCATCATAACCCTTTTTACATCTTAGATTGCTTTGAACCACATTTGTATCTATCAAAGAATCACAGCATAATACACATCCACCTGAGTATCTTGAAGATGCATCTACCTCCGGTGTGTCATTAATTGTTATATTCAACCGTGAATCTGTTTCACCTTGACCTTTAATTTCCCCAGATGAGTTGTACAGAAGTGTAGAATAGTAAGATGCTGAAAATGGAATAGTTCCAACCATGCCTGAAATCAATTTGAATAGTCTAATATCCCACCCATAACAGGGTAGGCCATAACATTTCAACCACGTAAGTCACTTATTATCGACATCATTAGGGCTCCATGGTCTAATATCGCAGAACCATTTCTCAATCCATCCTCGAGCTTGTTCTATGATTGAGAATAGTTCATATTCCTTGCTTTCCTCGAGTAAACACAGGTTAAGACCTAGAGGAGTGGCTTTCACGTTGAAAAAACCTTCCTCATTCAAAGCTTGTTGGATGCTATATGTATTTCCTGATGTTAAAACCTTCCCCACATATGCTTTATCAAACCTTAGCATTTCACACTTTTCAACATTGAACTGGATGTGCGCAAACATAGTTTTTGATATGCTTCTGCTTGTTATCCATCAACGGCGGTTTTTTACTGACCACCTGAGCGTATGATTTACCAATCGGCAAAGTTTTACTTCTATTCTTCGTTTGGTAGTTGACAGACTTGGCTTGTTTATCTCTATGCACACAAACCTCCCTTATGGCCTCCTTGATCATTCTGCCTCTGTTATCTTTCCATACTGAGAATTTTAGCTGCCTATCACCATTGGTTTTTCTCCTCTTTCCAACCACATTTCACTCCATGTTCTTGTTCACTCAAGTTTCAGTATTCAACACTTGAACAACCTTACTCCCTAGCTTCAAGCCTTGAAAGCTACAATTAATATGACTAGTGGTTCAAAGACAAGTTTGAATCAATCTCACAGAAAACAAGGTCCCTAATCCTAAAATTAAGACTCTAAACCAAAATCCCCAAACCTAACTCATTCTTGTTTTGTATATCTAAAAAATTTAACCTCTCTATATTCCAATGATCTTGAAAACGAACAATATCTTATTGTAGATGAAAAAAATTCTGCACTGCTTCCTTTACATCACCACCAATAATATTTCATATTATTTCAACTATTGAATTAGTATTTCAATTATTGAATATTTTAATTATTAATATTTTAACTATTTAGTTTATTACATATTTTAATTATTTAATATTTCAAATATTTATTTTGTTAAATATTTCAATTATTTATTTTTGAGGTTGTCTTTTTGGGTTGTTTTAGTTCAACTTAAATGCTTTGTAATGGAATAGTACTATCCTATTTTGATAGAGAGAAAGAGGTTTAATTAATTGTAGCATTAGCTTGTTTTTATTCTGCATGATTGAATTAAATGCAATTCTGAAATCAAAAAGGGGTCAATTGCAATAAGGAAAATGTATTCTTAATCATCAACTATAAGTTATCATATAGTTATCAATCATCAGCTATAAACTAGTTTATCGGTATAATACAATTTTTCGGATTATTATACTATAATGGTACAACCAATTGAATTTGATCCTACATAGAGTTACACCAGTGACCAGCTTTGAGAAAGCCATCTTGCCTCCTAAGCTGGGGAGAGAGCATTGCATAATGTTTTGTAAGCATTTACACATAGTTTGAATTTTTCTTCAGCCATTGCCTGCATTTGCGGAAAGGTTAAGTGCCAGACATTTGTTTAAGAGGTAGATGTTGAGTTAAACAAGTAATTCAAACTAACCTGTGAAGGGCCCTGATGTTTATCAGGATGCCATTTTAAAGCGGATAACCGGAAGCTGCAAAGGCAATGAAGAGATATCAGAAATTTGTAACGAGTGTGTATGATATGGACAGGAAGCCAAAAGCACTTACGCAATTTTAACATCTTCTATCTTTAATGGACCTGTTGGAGGCAAACCAAGAATAGTTCTATCAGAACTTGATCCTACAAAGCATGAATCAGCATCATCTTTATCGTTACCGTCATACTCATCATTGCTTGCACT